AGACTTTTTAAGAACCCGTGGGAACCCTGGTTTTTAATGATAGGGAAAAAAAGTTGTTAAATGTTAAAGTAGTTTGAAAGGACATAAAACAAGGAAAACTGTAAGCAGCAAGAGTAAAATGTTTTGAAGTAAATGGTTAAACACTAACATTGATCTTCTTGCTGTAAACTTCTTAAATGTCCAAATGCATTGAACTAGACTGCAATACATCAGGGAATAGGTTATGCAGGGGAAAAAAGTAGATGTCTAAAGTGGTTTGTTTTTAGCCTTCCCCCGCCCGGAGTGAATTGAAGTGCGTCCGCTCTTTGGAGACACTGATTCAATGGTTTGAGAGACGTGGAGCTGAAAGGTCAGCCTCTTTTAGTTTTCAAGAAAACACAATGAATAAAGGGGCTGTCCTGTTCTATCTGCTTTCTAAAGTGGAGAGCATTATGAGACTTAACAAAAGACCAGCGTTTGCATCTCCTTTTGGAAATGTTGTACGCCGCCAGAAGCACGGCTAAAAATAAGATGTAATTTGAAGGCCTTTTTGTGACGAAGATGTATAGTTGGCTAGTTGTAAGGCTAATGTCTAAGGTCCAATAGCTTATAATCCATTGTTTTTTTTTTTACATTTTTTCTTTCAACTTCACCATAGATCTACATGTATTATCTTATCAGTCCATAGATTTGACTAAATTCCGTTCTGCTATCGGTACCCAGATCCATCCACTGATTAAGAAGCCAAAATAATAATTTTCTTTAGATTATCAATTTAAAGCAGGGTTTTTTTCCATTTTGAAAGGATAATAAAGTTAAAAGTTAAGTGATTTTCAAACTCAAGTATTGAATTTCCAAGTTTTAATTCTTTAGGAAGTTTCACACAGGCTTAGAAATGCAAAGGTTTAAGGGGACACCTGGCTGAAAGTGTCATGATCTTGGCGCTGATGACTGGCCTGATTACTCATTTAATTCACCTGGTCTGCCCAGTTTCTGATACCGTTCATATATTCCACCTGTTCCAGCCTCTGTCCAGCCTGCCTTCTACCAGTCATCAGTGTCAGATTATTCTTGGTGAGAGTCTTCTACCAAACCCTAGTGTTTTCTGATTGCCTGATCTTGACCCCTTCTGCCTCTGGACCTCTGAGCCTGCCTGTTCTGATCTGTTTGCCTGACCTGTCTTCGGTCTCCTATTGGATTCTGCCCGTTTATCGACCCTAGAACGGATTCCTGACACCTTCCTGGATTTTGCTTAGGTACCTCAGACACCCTCGCTGTTCCCTGCAAATCACTTTACTTAATAAACGTTGTTGAGAATCCAACTGTCCGTCTGCTTCGAAAACTGGGCCCTGATCGGAGCCT